TACTAACAGCTAGTCACGGTGATTTGTTGGTTTGTCGGTTCGCAAGAGTACATTGGCGGTCGCTTACTCTCACAATAAGACTGGGTGTAAGGTCAGTGGTTTGTATATATAGTGAAAGAGTAAGGCCATCATGTTGCTATCTTTTACCAGGAACGCGTAGATCTGTTACTTATACAAGAAAACACAACCTGTCAAGTATTCGAACATCGCAGTTGATCAAACTCACTAGTGTTCATAGTTCCATCAGCGATCAGAAAGTCACGCTTAGTAGAAGCCAAATCTAAATATAGTTAAATATAATAGAAATTCAGTTGATCCTTCATGTTTTTCAGACGGCGGGAAAGACCTATCTGAGAACGACATTGATAGAGATCTCGTGCAAAAATTCCTTAAAGACATCGGGAGCAAAATTCAAGACCAAGATCTTGCTCGTCCAGGACAGCTTTACAAAAACATGAAATTGGTGAAGGTGATGGGACAACGAGAAGCAGAAGGCAAAGTAATTGACATATTAGTTCCTCGAAATGTATCTCTGTTGTTCTTTAGTAAAACCCCCGACGAGTACTTCAGAGGAGCACAAACAGATATCACGATATACAATGCCGACGGCGAAGTCAAAGAAGACTTGAAGAAAAAGGGTCCAATCGATCATCAGATCAATGAAGTATTGGATTTCATTTTGAAGGAAACCAAAGATGAAGAATCGCTAGATTCTGTTCAGTATCCCAAGAGAGCCCTTCGAGAGGCAGTTGTCAATGCCTTTTATCACAGAGGATATGAACCAGAACATTGCGATCCTGTGAAGGTGCGTATTTACACCGCTCACATCGATATAATAAGTTATCCTGGTCCGCATCAAAGCCTTAAACTTTCTCACTTCTCCGAGGACGGTGATTTACCCCCGGTAAAGACAAGGAACAGACGAATTGGCGAATTCCTTGTGAAAAGAAAACTGGCTGAGGAAAAAGGGACAGGTGTAAAAACTATTTTCCGCTCAATGAAACGAAACGGGAATTCCACACCTGTCTTCCAGTTTGACGAAACGTACTTTCGCGTGCGACTGCCAATGCATCCCAATTTCATGGTTCGTGAAATTCTTCAATTAACAAGCACCCTTAGCGGAAAGGGTGAGAAGAGAAAAGCTGTGGAATCACTTCTGGAGTTTCTTGAAAAAAATCCAGGCATTCGTTGCGAAAGCCTGTTCCAGAAATTGATCGAGCTGCACGACAATGACAGGAAACATCCTAATGTCGAGAAGTACAAAGAATTTGTTACTGATCGCGTGGAACGAAGGGTTGCTTTGGCATCAGAGCTTGACGAATGGTCTAGAAACCCACTGGACATAAAGAAGGGTGTCCAAATCGTGGAGAGCCTTGTAAAAGAAGGTGCAACCTCCGAGGATCTGAGGAAGGCGACCAATATCGCTGTTGAAAAATTAACAAAGGAGCTAAGTGATCCGTCAGCTCTAGAGGCCAACCAGGAGGCGCATCAGCTTATCCATGCAATGGGCAGTGTGGTCAAAAAGGATGCATATCTGTCCTACCATTTTGCAAAATGCAAATTCAAATTATTTTCATTAAACACAAGGGCAGTTAAGGGTGTCAGGGAACGAAGTGGATTTTCTTCCTATCTCACTGAAGCCGCAGAGTGTGTCAACGATGCAGTGCAACTGACTAGTGAGGAAAACAACTCCCACTTGGCAAATGAATATCGCTTACTGGGATATATCCACTCACGACTCCACGGTCTAAAAAAGTCGACAATTGCTGATATTTTAGGGTACTACGATAAGGCCAGATCGTACCTTCCAGATATACACATAAATGTAACGTTTATACCGGGAGGATTCAGGAACCGTTATAATTAATCTACCCGAGGAGGACTCCCCGGTTCATCGATGAGGGAGAGAACACTGGAAAGTGTATATCATACCTTTGTTACTACAATGTTACTAACAAACTGAGAAATCTGGACCCAAAGGCTAAGGAGGCTATTTCGGTTAAATGCTTTTTGAGCTGTCTTCACTTATGGCGTAACTGTAGCTTCATACCAAAAATACTACCATGTTACTTTTCTTTTTTAAGGAAATCTCCAGGTAGTGCTGTTGGTAGCAAGGTTGATTCGTAGTGGTATACATGACAATTGAAAACTAAGGTTATAAAATAAAAAAAGCTGACGTTACGAGCGTTAGCCCTTTCAGCCCGATAGCCCTTCGTGAGCCCGTTAGCCCTTCGTTAGCCCTTCGTCAGCCTTCGAAGCCCGAGCGTTAGCCCTTCGTCAGAGCGAAGGGCTCCGACGAAGGGCTAACGCTCGAAACGTCAGCTTTTTTATTCGTTACGGTGGCCAATTTACAATTTCAACTTGGATACCAACAGATATTGGGGGAAGGGTAGGTGTTAGGCCTTTATAGATTATGCTAGCATAATTTTTGGCATAATTTGAGCAAACTGGCATAATTTCTGCCAAGTAGCAATGCTAGCATAATTCGCATATTTTGATAATTATCGGATCAATTTTGATGCTATAATTTGATCATTGCTCATCTCTACTTCCAAGCACCCGGTGACGTTATTCGATGTTTTAAGTTTTAGTTCAAGTAGTAGCATTTGTAGTTCACTGTGAATCACTGAGCGACGTCTGAAACGGTCTGAGCCCGGGTCTGGGGTGCACCGGAACCGGAAGTCACATTGTGAGCCATATATAGTCTAGTACTAGTGTGCATCTTGACATGACCCAAATGTTTATTTGAATTTCATTGTGGATTTGTTGCGTTTCTTACTTGTAGACCAACGGCTTCTAATCAAAAAATGTATTTTTTGGACTTACCTACAATTTTTTCAAAGAGAATAATTTAAAAAAAGAGGCATCATTTGGAAAAAAGAGCATAATTTTAGCATAATTTCACCCAAAAAAAGCAATGCTACTAGCATAATATACTACTTTTACTAGCTTAATCTTTAAAGGCCTAGTAGGTATGCAGCTGCTCAGCTGACATTGATCCAAAGTCAGTTGTTTTATCATCAACCAGGGATAAGTAAAGGAGCTAGAAGAGCAAACCGCCCTGCATAGCAGTTACTTGGAGGCATCCAGCTTAAAGCCAAGTTCTTCCTTGCCTAGTTGTCTAGGAAAAAGTCTGGGAAAGGGTAGGCGTGTCCCTTTTGCAACTTCGATTTCAGACCCCCTTGTCTTCTTTGCCTTCTTTCCTAAGTGAAGAGCCTAGGAACGATGTTGTCTGCTTCAATATGCCTCGCTGATGTCACAGGATTGATTAAGTGGAAGAGACGTAGGAATTAGGGGGAAGGCATTACGAAAGAATGACTTAGAGCTTTGCCATACGAGAGACAGAAAAACAAATAGAAGCAGCGTGAGAGCTAACGCTAGCTGTTCAGGCGCTCAAAAACATGTCACAGTGAATGTTAGTTGCTTAGCTGAAGGTCATTTAGGACGCTGGCCAAATCCTTAACCCTGGAAAGGGTCAACCTTTTTTGACCCTACAAAAAGTTTCTCATGACAAAAAACAAACAAAAAAGTAAAATGTGATCTTGCTCTTGACTTTTGGTCAGTTAGATCGACCGAAATCACGAATGCAATGTTTTGAGGATGTTGATTAAAATAAATCAGTTTCATATTTGCATATACTCTCTTATTCAAGTACATACTTGCTTGAAGACATTACGTTATTGATGGTAAAATTGAAGCATAGCTATTTCACATGACTTTTGCCCATAACTGATTCTTAGTTCAGGAGTATTTTACCTCATTGGAAAAATAAAGAGACAGAAATTTCTTCAAGGTGACCTTTAAGTTTTCAGGAGTAAAAGCGGTATTCGTGTATTATACATTCTTATTCCCTAAATCTTTCTTTTAAAATATATCCTTCAGATTTCCTTTCACTCGTTTTAGCCAAACTGTTATCATTTCATGATTTTCCAATAATTTAATTTGTTGAGGCAAAAAGTTTAGCCCAAAAAAGGCTTGCCAATCAAGAAGGAAATTATGACAGTTTAGTT